ACTCCAGTTTGGAACAATCACCTTTACAAAGATGATAAAACAGTAATAATGACCTTGAGTAACTCTGTCCCCTTCTGACATTGTTAGAAATGTGGCTCAGAGAGAGGCTTGTTGACATGCCTAGGATCAGAGGCCTAGGACAAGACTTCAGATGCTTTCAATTTTTTTGTTTTGCTTTTTGAGACAGGGTCTCACCATGTAATCCTGGCATAATTTGGACCAAATTTAGTTGTAATTTGGACCAAAACTAAAAATGTAGACCAGGCTGGCCTCAAACTCAGATTCTTCTGCCTCTGTATCCAGAGTGTGTGCCACGATGCCCTACCTCTCTAATGTGTGCACATGTGCTCTGTCCAGGACGTGAGTATGGAAGTCAGAGAATCACGTTCAGGACATGATCTTCTGCTCTCATGTGGGTCTCAAGAATCAAACTGGAGTGGCCAGGCTTGCCAAGAGCCTTTACCTGCTGAGCCATCTTACTGGCCCTTCAGTTCGATGTCTCTGTTCAGGGTTTCTTTCCATTCCAAAAAAAAAGGAAGGCAAAATTATGGTTCAGTTATGGGGAAGGGTCAAGCAAGCCCCACACCCAGTGATGGAGATTCAGTGGAGGGCCCTTCACATTCTAGGCCAGGATTTTACCTCTGAGCCACCCCCCAGTTCTAGTCATTAGTCCTACACCATGAAACTCTGTCCCTGTCAAAAGGTAAGCTGCAGATGTTACTACATACCAAGTACATGCTGTGAAGTTAAGAGGGATTCCTTCCCTTGTACCAAATCTGCTATCCTCCAAAGTCACCCTTGCTTTGGACTTTATGAATAAAACTATTCATAGTAGGGTCCAAGAATTAAAAGAACCATTCACTAGCAGGTTAAAAAAAAGTGGAGGTATATTTCAGCAAAATGTTTGCATAAAAGATTAAAGAGGCAGGATGAAGTCAGGTTAGCTTTCTACAGTAACAGATACCAAGTGCTTCCTCTGTAGTCTGTGCTAAGAGTTGACTGTGTGTACACATTGTTGTATGCAGTGAGTGACAGAAGCAGACCAACACACAAGGAAAAGAAAGAATCCAGGTCTCCAGGCTTACAGTGTTGGCTGCTGATAGAGGACTGTGAACTTCAAAGACATGACTAATAATATAGAACAGATAATTGTTAAGTAAGTGGCACAGGTGATGTGTCTGCAGGAGTTCTCAGCAGTTCTGTTGGGGATGGGAGCACTGCAAGGCAGGGTGTTTCTAAGGATATGGCTATGCGCAGAGTATGAGACACAGATGTATGAAAATGTCAAAAATCAAACCCATTACTTTGTACGCTAATTAAATTTTTTAAAGAAGGATGTAGTGGTACACTCCTATATTCCCAGCACTCTGGACACTGGAGAGGTCAAGGTGAGCCGAGACTACCTGGCTACACTAGCTACATAAGGAGTTCCAGGACAGTCTGTTTATGCTATAGTGTAGCAAGGCCCCGTCTTGAAAGAAAAGAAATGAAGACAAAGAGGATGGATGAATGAATACAGGAGTCGAGGTATACTCTGAAGAAAGGCTCTCATAACAGAGAAATGGTATATGCAAACATTGCTGGTCTTATTGTCAGGGAAGAGGAAGCAATCCAGTTCTAAAAGGACCAGGCCAGACTTGTACAGTCTTGAAAGTTAAAGGTCTTGTAGAGGTAGAAAGTACAGAAATTGTTTTGTTGTTCATTTTTGTTTGTTTGTTTTTTGAAGACAGGGTTTCTCTGTGTAGACCCAGCTATCATGGAACTCACTCTGTAGACCAGGCTGGTCTCAAACTCACAGAGATCCACCTGCCTCTGCCTCCTGAGTGCTGGGATTAGAGGCTTGCACCACCACTGTCCAGCCAGAACATTTTTTTGAATACAAAAAACTAGAGTCTAGACACACAAGTGGTTTCTAGCTGCATACTCTGTGCAGGTATTAGACGAGTGACTGTTGGAGCCCTCCCAGGACAACTCATTGCAGCTTAGGGGGAATAGATGGGCTTGAGATGGCGTGGAAACAAACCATGAACCATGTGGGAAGGCGCATGCCTGTAAACCTGACAATGAAAGAATCGGCAGGCCTTTGTGACTAGTGGACAGAAAGTCGAGGACAGTCAGATGAGCAAGGAAGCGCAGAACTTGATTTAGAGGGATTGAACCAAGGAATCACGCTAGTAACTAGGAGACAGGAGTCTTTTTTGATGGACAAAGAGTTGTGCACTTAAGTAAGCTCTAACTCTGAAAGAGAGTACAATGAGAAAACCCAGAATGTCATACTAAGCCACAGGTATCTTCAACCTAGCAGGTGAGAGTGGGCAAGAATAATCAGAAACGAAAATTGGAGGCTAGGGATACAAAAAAAAAAAAGATAAAGAAAGGAAACCAGGATGAGGATAAATGAACAAAAGAAGTGGTGGGAGTTTGAGGCAGGAAAGGGTTGTCAACCATGAAACCATGCTGCAAAATCAAGGACAGAGGATATAAATAAGAAGTATTTGCTGACTGATTGAATGAATGAACAAGTCCTTGGTCAGAAGAATGGCCAGAGTTGCTTTCAAGAGAATTTTAGTGAGTTTTATCCTATCCTCCTATGAAAACGTTTCTGTCCGCACAAGTCATCCTGCCTGCACATAGACTTACCTTCCTTGCTTTCCCCGTGGTTCTCCCCATCCTCCTTCCCAGGTTCCACAAGCAAAACAACACGCACCTTCAGTGTCAAAGCAGACAGGAAACTCCAACTAGAGTTTCCACTTCATTAACAACTGCGCCTGTGGCTCCTCTTACATAAATGGGTATGTGGTAACAAAAAGGAAGAAGAGACTGGATTCCAGCCCCGGTTGTTCTACTAACTAGCTGTGTGACTTAGGAGAAGCTGGCTGACCAACCTCTCTGGATCTGCGTAGAAGGGAGGTAAATCTGTACATTCAGATCGGGGTTGAAGGTCCTTCTGTGCTTCACAGTTTATCATTTGCATAATAAGTTCCTAGCAACACCCTCAGAGAAGGGGATACAAGACCCAGGCAAATGACCCTCAGACGCAGCGCCAGGACCGGAGGGGTGTACCAAGAAAGTGAAGACAGCGCAGCTAGCGCTTCGCACACCGCCAGAGAGCAGATCCCATTCTCATGGCTGAGAGGGATCCCATTCCCAGGGCTGAGAAGGCTTGACGACGCTCACCCCGCACCCCACCTTTCCTAGACTCCCAGACGTCCAGGAGGCTCTAAAAAGCCCTGCGGAGGGGTGGGGAGGATTAAAGATTTCTACCCCATGGTCCTGCACTGCTTTTGCGAGTCGAATCTCTCAGACACGATCTGCAGCCCGATGACACAGTGACTCTCTGGAAGAAGCGACTGTGTTCGCCTCGCACGCTCCGACTTCTGGGGACGCAGGCTGCCCACGCCGCTCCCCGGCCGCCGCCGGCCGACCCCGGCCGGGGCTGCCAGACCAG